GGATTCAGGAGTATTAGGCAAAAGAGAATCAGAATGTAAAGCCTTTTTGGGAAGATGTGGGCTCTCAGGTAAATCTTTTTTTTTTCCCCCACAAATAGGTATTGAGGACCTACTATAGACGGCTCACGAAGTAGTCATGTTCTGTGAAATATCCCCTTCCCAACCCTTGATGAAATCTTGGGCAGATTCAGTAGCTTTTGGCTACTAAAAGTCCATTTTGTTTAAAACTTCAATAATACCCAATTCAAATCTCAAATAGTATCATAGCCTCTCCCACTCTAGGCACTAGGTCATAAAGAAAGTCTTCACTTTAAAGAAGTCATCATTTTTAAAACTGAGATATAATTGACACCATGTATTGGTTTTAGGTGTACAATATAAGAATTTGATAAATGAATTCTCATGGAGAAAGACTCTCCTGTCCCGTTCAGTGTCCTTCTAGTGGGACTAAAAATCAAATTGACAGGAGACAAATTAAGCAGAAAAAAATAAAATTTAATAGCATATCTGCGGGGAACCCATATATGTAAAAATCCAAAGACAATCAGGCAAAATGAGGCATATATGTCATCCTGAACTACAGAGAAGGAGGTAAGGGTCTGGGACTTTGGAAGGAAGGAGAACAATTTGCAGAGGACTAGGAAGACAAGCAGGTGTTGCTAATTAGAAGTTTGCTCTGCCATCCGGATGGGTCACTCGGATAACGTTTATCTCTGATAATAACCCTTACTCTGGGAAAGACCCCAATTTAGTTTCTTTGATGTAGCTAAGGGAGGAACAAAGTTTCTCTTGGTCCAGCAGGGTCTCATTTGCCTTCGGCTCAAAATAATCTTCATGCCGAAGTGGTCCGTCTTGGGGCAGCCTGCCCTCGGCTCCTAGAGCATATATGACAAGATGATTATCATAGTAAGTTTAGTTAACACCCGTCACCACACACAGTTATGCATTTCTTTTCCCTTGGGATGATAACTTATAGGATTTACTCTCTTAACTTTCAAATCTACATCACCGTGTCGTCAATTATAGTCATCCTGCTTTGCTTTATATCCCCAGGACTTATTTATAAGCAAGAAGTCATAACTTTTAAGCATTGAAGTTACATAAACCCTTTCATCTGACCCTTTTGTAATAATCTTAGTCAAGAAACTGACAGCCTCCAACTCTCCAGCCTCTTGGGTGTTTCCTCAAGTCGGGGAGACTTCTGGAAATGTGTCTCTTCCCCACTCTGGGCAAGCTGGGACGATCATTCTGCTCGTCTCACTGGTTCACTTGTCTCTTAGAGATCACTGTTTTTTATTATCCCATTTGTTTCTTTCAGCTGTTTGGTCCCCCCATGCCTTTTTTTTTTTTTTCTTTTTTCCTGGTTGTTTCAAACGGGAGAGTAAATCTGGTCCCTCCTCCTCCATCCCATGGAAATACACGAGTCATTTTCCATACTTTTGTTTCCTACTTATTTTTGGTTTTAATTTACATTTCTCTTACCTAATGGGATGGGGGGGCATTTTTTTCATGTGCTCATTGGCCACTGGTTTATCTTTTTTGATGAAATGTCTGTTTAAAACTTGTGCTTTTTTTTTTTTTAATTGGGTTACTTATTGTTCTTGAGTGGTAGGAATTCTTGTGTTGTATATGGTGGGCATGAGTTTTTCATCAGATGTGTGTTTTGCACATATTTTCTTCCTGTCTATAGCATGCCTATTCATTTTTCTTAACATTATTTTCTCCAAGATTTTATTTATTTATTTATTTATTTGACAGAGAGAGACACACACACACAGAGATGGAACACAAGCAGGGGGAGTGGGAAAGAGAGAAGCAGGCTTTCCGCTGAGCAGGGTGCCCAATGCAGGGCTTGATCCCAGAACCCTGAGATCATGACCTAAGCCAAAAGCAGACGCTTCACCGACTGAGCCATGCAGGCGCCCCAATAGCATCTTTTGTTAAGCAGAAGTTTAAAAAGTTTTTAGTGAAGCCTAATCTATTAGTGCCTTTTTTATGGAGTTCTGTGCCATTTTTAAGAAATCTTTGTGTAGGGTGCCTGGGTGGCTCAGTGGGTTAAAACCTCGGCCTTCGGCTCAGGTCATGATCCCAGGGTCCTGGGATCCAGCCCTGGGTCGGGCTCTCTGCTCAGCGGGGAGCCTGCTTCCCTTCCTCTCTCTCTCTGCCTGCTTCTCTGCCTCCTTAAAAAAAAAAAAGAAAGAAAGAAATCTTTGTGTACTCATTGCTTCCTCCAAAAACTTTATAGTTTCATGTTTATCTCAGAGTAATTTTTATATATGGTGTGAGCTAGGGATAAAGATGAACTTTTTCCCCATAAGAACATCCAGTTGTTCTAGCATTATTTGCTGAAAAACAACAAAGGACTTCTATTCTTTGCATGTTTTGTTTTTATTATTCCACTTTTGAAATATTTTTATTTGTTAGTATTAATTTTTGGAAATTTCAATCTAGCATAGGTAGCATACAGTATTTTATTAGTTTCAGAAATACAATGATACAATGCAGTGATTCAGCGGTTCCTTACGATACTCCGTGCTCTCCATGGTAAGAGTGCTTTAATCCCCTTCCCCTCTTTCCCCCATCTCCCTACCCATCTCCCCTCTGGTAACCATCAGTTTGTTCTCTGGAGTTAAGAGTCTGTTTTTTGGTTTGTCCTTTTTTTTTTCTTCTGTTTGTTTGTTTTGTTTCTTAAATTCTACATATGAGTGAAATCATATGGTATTTGTCTTTCTTTGCCTGACTTGTTTTGCTTAGCATTATACTCTCTAGCTCCAACCACGTCATTGCAAATGGCAAGATTTCATTCGTTTTTATGGCTGAATAATATTGCCTTGTGTATATATATACACATCTTCTTTATCCATTTATCAGTCGATGGGCACTTGGACTGTTTCTATAATTTGGCTATTGTAGAAAATGCTGCTATAAACATCAGGGTGCATATATTCCTTTGCATTATGTTTTGTGTTCTTTGGGTAAATACCCAATAGTGGGATTGCTGGATCATAGGGTAGTTCTATTTTTAACTTTTTGAGGAAACTCCTTACTGTTCTCCATACAGTTTGCATTCCCACCAACAGTGCATGAGGGTTCCTTTTTCTCCACATCTTCACCAGCACTTGTTGTTTCTTGATTTCTTGACTTTAGCCACTGCTGACAGGTGTGAGGTGATGTCTCATTGTGGTTTATGATTTCAAATGGGTTCTGTTCTATCCCAATCTAATTTTTCAACCCTTTGCTAGTATCATACTGTCTTCATTCTGCAGTTTTGAAGTCAGATAGTGTAAGTCTTCCAACTTTATTGTTTTTCAAGATTGCTTTGGCTGTTTAGGTCCTTTGTATTTCCGTATGTGTCTTAGAATAAACTTGTCAATTTCCATGCAAAAAATCTTAGTGAGATTGTGACTGGAACTGAACTGATTCTATTGAATCAAGAGATCAATTTGGGGAGAACAGACATGTTAACAATAGAGTCTTCCAATCCTTGACATTTTAAGGTTGCTATTTATACAGGGTTTTAATTGATTTATAATGAAATTTTGATGGAATATACTGGGTTTGATACTCTTCTCAGATTTTATCCCTTTCATCTATGTATTTATTAGCAAAAAGATTTTTGTATTATTATTTTATCTTTTTAATGTTTACAACACCTACGGTATAATCTCTTCTCCCTGATAATGGTGACTTGTGTCTTTTCTCTTTACTTTTTCCTTGACCAGTAAAATCACTAGAGGCTTTTTGATTTTGTTTTTGGTCTTTTCAAAGAACTAATTTTAAGTAGATTATATTAAACAGATCTTTATTAAATGTTTTCTATCTTATAAAATTCCACTTTTTATTACTTCCTTTTTCTTTCTTTGAGTTTATTTTGCAGTTCTTTTTCTAAGTACTTGGACTCAATTTTTAGCCCATTAAATTTCACTTTCTTTTTTTCTAATGTCAGTGTTTCCCTCTACATCCTGGTTATGTTTTTATTATTATTTAGTGCTAAATAATTTCTGATCTATTGTGATTTATTTTTGACCAATATATTATATTAAAATGTCTCTTACTTTCCAACCATGAATTTTACTAGTTATCATTGTTTTTTATTCTGAACATAGTTGCATTATGATATAAGCAATCTTGTATCTCTATATGATATTCCTTGGAGATTTGTAGAGATGAAGCCCGTGTGTGATCAATTATTATAACTCTTATATGTGTGCAGGAAAATGATGTATATTCAGCAGTTGTTGAGTGGTATGTTATATATGATACCTATATCTCTATCTATGTCTTTTTTTTGGGGGGGGGGCTTATTTAAAACAGGGAAGTAAGTCTGACCCCTGTTATTCTACCTTGACCAGAGGTAGAAATACATGAGTCATTCTTAATGATAATGTTTCCTACTCATTTTTGGTTTTAATTTACGTTTCTCTGATGCCTAATGATAATGTTGGGCACTTTTTCATGCGCTTATTGACCTTGTGTGTGTGTGTGTTCGCGGGGAGAATCTTCATTGGGGGAGGTTTGGTAGTTTTGATTCAAACAGTCTTCATCATTACTTTTTTTTTTTCTCTCTTGACATGTCCCAACATTTATTCGTACCTTTGGGGGCTACTGTTTCTTTGACAGCGGCTCAAGTTAGCTTGGAACGACACATCTCAATACAACATTCTCTCTAAGGCCACTTAGAGCCTAGGGAAGGTGCTGCCCTCTTTCCGGGGCGGGATAGGAGCCGAGCGCTCGGGGAGAGGACGTGGGGCGGGCGGCGAGGGCGCGCGGGGGGCAAGCGCGCGGGGCAGCGAGGGCGCGCGCGGGGCGAGGACGCGGGACGGGAGGCGAGCGCGCGAGTGGCCCTCGGGCGCGCGGGGGCCGGGTGCGCGGGGCGGGGCGAGCGCACGCGGGGCTGTGAGGGCGCGCGCGGGGTAGCCACAGCGGCTGCGCGCGGGGCGACGAGGGACGCGCCGAGCGGCGCGCCCTACTCCGCGTGAGGCGCTCGAGCCCGGCGGCGGATGGCGGGCGTCGGCGAGGGGGTGCCAGGCGGGCTCGCAGACGTCTCCATGTCGCCTACCATGCGTGACGCGCCGCGGAGGAGCCTTTCCCGAGGTAATGGGACGAGGAGGAACCTGCCCGAGTTCTCCATCCTCACGCCCGGGGTGCGCGGAGAGGTGACTCCCTTTTCCCACGCGGAGCCTGGCTCCTCAGGTGGATGATGTTTTCTGGTCCCTTGGTTCTGCTGCCTTCCCCTCGCGCCCCTCGGCCTGCAGCCTCTCTCCCGCATCCTCTCTCCTGGAGCCTCTCTCGGGCAGCGCCTGCTTCTCCGGGACGAGTCTGGGGGCCCCTCGCCTCCAGAAACCCTCCCTCGGTTCCCACGATGAGAAGGCCCGCTTGTGGGCGCGCCTGCTGCGCCCTCCTGAGACGAATTAAAATACATTTTTACCTGCTGCTTCTTTCAGTTACTGAGGGGAGAGTTTTTAAATCTGTGATTTTGAATTCGCCTGTGACTCCTTTTAGTTTTGCCAGTGTGTCTTGAGGCTGTTATTAGTGCATGTAAACTTAAAATCACGGTCGTTTCTGGGGCGCCCGGCTGGCTCAGTGGGTGGAGCGTCTGTTCTCCGCTCGGGTCATGATGCAGGGGTCCTGGGATGAAGCCCTGGGTAGGGCTCCCTGCTCAGGGGGGAGTCTGCTTCTCCTTCTCCCTCTGTCTTCACCCCAGCTCATGGTCTGTCTCTGGCTTTGTCGCTTGCTGTCTCTCAAATAAGTAAAAAAGTATCTTTAAAAAATAAAATTATGGTTTCTGATGAATTGTTCTCTTTATCTTTATGACATGGCTCTCTTTGTCAATGCTTGTTGCTTAAAACATGTTTTCTTTATTGTTAATATGGCTGTGTCAGTATTCTCTGCTTAGAATTTGCTTGATGACTTTTATATATACATTGCTTATGTATAAATACGTAAACACACTTATTTCAGGACTCAGGCCATAATTGAATTAACGGTAACATTGTGGACTTTCTCATGCAGTCTGTTGTGGGTGGTTTTTTGCTGGTCCTTGTTTATGGTACTTTAATAATTGAGTACAACCTGTTGCTTGATGCTTTGGAACTTTGCCTGCAGAAATGATCATTAGCTGAGTTAGAGGTTGAGCCCTCCAGACAGGATCAACATTTGCCTCTCCCCGGTCTGTGGGAGCTACTCCTCTAGGTTATTCTTACCTAAATGTTCAGCAAGAGGATTGCCCAGTTCCCCCAGCCGGTGTGAATTCAGGCTGAAAACACTCACGAGAGCTAGCTTCTGTTTTTTTTCCTCTCTCCTACTTAGCATTAAAATTTGATCTAATAAATTTTCTTGCTCATCTTGAGCTGGGGTTGAGATGGGAGAAGTGGGAGATTGAGGAGCAAAACCAGTTTATGTCTACCTTCATTCTTAAATTGATGATTTTAGCCACTGGGATTGCTTTTGGGGGGGGAAGATCTTCTGTTAGACTCCTCGGCTGGGGAGACTCTGGGCTGTGTTTCTGGACCCATCTGAGGCCTTGAATGCAAAGTTCAGTGTCCATCTCCATCCTCCCTCCTTGTTTGGGAAAGAGCTGGCTACAGTCTTATCTGTATTCAATCCTTAATTTGAGAACTCCTTACTTTTGTGACAGCTTATTGACTCTTTTAAGATTGTCAGATTTTTAGTTGTTTTTAACAAGAGAATTCATTCAGGTATTCAGCCCATCACCTTACTGGAAACAGAAACTTTTTTAAAATCTATATCTTTTAAAGATTTTATTTATTTATTTGACAGAGCACGGATGAGAGAAAGCGAGAGAGCACAAGCAGGTGGAGTGGGAGAGGGAGAAACAGGCTTCCCACTGAGCAAGGAGCCCGATGCAGGACTCGATCCCACAATCCCGGGATCATGACCTGAGCCGAAGGCAGATGCTTAACTAACTGAGCCACCCAGGCACCCCTGGAAACAGAATCTAAATTTAGTACATGGCACCTCAAACTCTGTTAGGCTGCTTACTTGTGTTTTTTTTCCTCTCACATAATTACAAATGTCAGTGTAATTGAGAATGTTTGTTTCCTTTAAATTCCATGACTAGAAATTAGGAAGGATAGGCTTTAGTGGTTAAGTGTATGGTAACCATTTGAGGAGTGTTCCTAGCTTGGGTCAGTTTTTAAAGATGCTGCCACAAAGTTTTGAAGAAGATACCACAGTTCACTTACATCTGTTAATTTGAAACTGGCCCAGTAAACTTAACACTTTTTATTTTTAGCTTTTGCCTCCTTTCAGTTTATACTTCTGTTGTTGTAGCCTTCTTCCAAAACAAAAATCTCACAAACAAGCTATGGTGGGCTGATGATTGCCCTTAACCCCCAAAGGTATGTCTATGGGAGCCTCTGAATGTTGATCTAGTTTGGGAAGAGGATCTTTGTAAACATAATTAAGGATCTTGAGATCATCCTGAATTATCTGAGTGGACCCTAATCCAATGGCCAAGGGTTTTTGAGGAAAAGGCACAGACGTAGACACAGAGGAGACACAGAGTGAATGTGGCATGAAGACAGAGCCGGAGGGAGACCAAAGTGATAAATCTACAGAAGCTAGGAGAAAGGCACAGACATGCCTTTACAGCTCCTAGCAGGAGCCAGTCCTTCTGACACCTTGATTTCAGACTCCTGGCTTCTAGAATTGTGAGGGGATGCATGATTTCTGTTATTTTAAGCTGCCTGGTTTGTGAGAACTTGTTTCACTAGCCCTAGGAAACTAATAACTAGTTGTACACACTCTCCCTGCTCCATTAAGTTTTAAAAGCCTACAGTCTAGTTTCCCATCAATTATGGTAAAAAAAAAAAAAAAAATGGCAATGAGCTGAGAGAACCAGAATGGGACTTCACTGGGGGCCACTCCCAACTTCAGGAGTTTGCTGGTGGTGAGGATTAAATGCTTAAAGCTTCAAACAAGTAGAAAGCTTTTCCTAACTCTCAACATTACTTTTTAACATGCATTGCATTCAGGTTGGCCCTTGCCATCAGTGCCCTCTCCTTCCTCATCTTTAATAGTATGTTTAATGTTTGACCCTCCCTCCTGCTCTGTCCTTCATGCCTCCCCCCACTCATACACGTTGAAAAAAGCCTCTCTGAAATGTCCGCAGTGACTCTGAACCTGGCAGAAGAGTCATTTTTATCCAGGAAGACCAACAACAAAAGAGTTCCTAGATTTTGGATAGCTTTATTTATATTCCGAACGGCTCCCTGAGGTAGGTATCATTGGGACCATTTTATTAAAAAGGACAGTTTTTCCATTTTTCCTCAGTTAGAATCAATGAACTGGAACCAGAAGGAGCCTTGGAGCTGTTGGCCTGACTGTTTTATTGATTTGTTAAACAGTTCTGTGTGACTCTGATGTCCCAGATTCTAAGATGCTCTGGGGATTCAGCTGTGATCAGTCTATTCCAGGCTTCTCCTGCTGGTGAGCCACCATCTCTGGCTGTTAGCAATAGTTTAGCATTTTGTGGCATTAAGAAATGTGATGTTAATATTAAACCAAGGTAATTATAAGTAGGCATTTTTTTACACATTCCAAAAAAATGTAAATGGACAAAGATGTGTTGTAGAGCTCTATTTCTGTTGGGACCTACAAATCTACTTTATTCATAACTGCTACATAGTATTTCATGGAAGAATGTGCCATAATTTACTTACTCCAATTTTAAGATGGGTAATGGACCCTAATAGATATTCTTCCAAAGAAGACATACAGATGACCAACAGGTACATGAAAAGGTGCTCCGTATCACTCATCATCAGGGAAATGCAAATCAAAACTGCAATGAAACGTGGAATAGAATGACTAGTATCAGAGGGACAAGAAATAAGTGTTGGAGTGGATGCAGAGGAAAGGAAACTCTTATGGAATGTAAATTCACACAGCTACTATGAAAACAGTATGGAGGTTCCTCAAAAAATTAAAAATAGATCATATGATCCAGCAATTCCACTTCTGAATATTTATCAGAAGAAAATGCAAGCACTAACATGAAAAGCTATACCCCTCCAGTTGCACTGCAGCTTCTTTATAATAAGCCCAAACCAAACAGGAAGCAACCTAAGTGTTCAACAATGGTTGAATGGGTAAAATGTGGTATTATAGAATACCAGTGGAATATTATTCAGTCATAAAAAAGAAGGAAATCTTGCTATTTGTGACAACATTGGCTGGACCTCAAAGGCACTATGTTAGGTAAATTAAGTCAGACAGAAGACAAATATCGTATTATCTCACATATATGTCAAATCTAAAAAAAAAAAAACTCACAGAAAAAGATCAGATTGCAGTTACTAGAGTCAGGGAGCAGGGTTGGAGAATTTGATGAAGATAGTCAAAAGGTGCAAATTTCCAGTAACAAGTGCTGGGGATATAACATATAACACAATGACCATATTTAACACTGCTTTATAGTGTAGTTGAGAGTTGCTAAGATAGTAAATCCTAACTGTTCTCATCACAAGGAAAAAATTTTTTTCTTTAATTTTTTGTATGTGTATGAGATGATGGATGTTAACTAAACTTATTGTGGTGATCATTTTGCAAAATATATAGCCAAGTGATTATGCTGTACGTCTTAAACTTACACAGTGCTGTGTGTTAATTATATTACAATAAAACTGAAGAAAGTCAACAGGTAAGCGAAATGAAATACTAAAAAAATTAATTTAAAGGAAAGAAGAGGAATGGGAAGGCAGAGGAATGAGAAAGAGATAAACAGAAAACATAGTAAAATGGAGGACATAAATAATTACATTAAATATAAATGTTCTACAGACATGTGAGTGAAGCCTTTTACTTGGACCTTCCAGACCAGTCCTGCTGCTATCAGCTGAAAGCGGATCATGAGGGAAATTTGGAAATGTCCTTATGGAAATGTCCTCTAACTTGATTGTGGCAGTGGGTCCATGGTCACAGACCTATGTCAAAACTCACTGAAACTAAATTTTACTTTATGCAAATTATACCCTAATAAAATTAAAATTATATATATATTATATATATAATAATGTATATTATATATGTATATTATATATACTATACATATATATGTATATGTGTGTGTATATATATATATATATATATATATATATATATATATATAAAATAGCATTAACTAATCCCAGTCAGCAGAATATGGAACAGAAGGATCATCATCCAAACTCCATCTGAATTCACGATCAGCAACATTTTGAGATATAATAAAGTACTTATCCTTTAAAGAAATTAAAATAGTCAAAACATGCCAGTTGGAAGAGAGATTATCATAATGGATAAAAAGAATAAGACCCACTCTATGCTGTCTACAAGAAATCCACTTTAAACTTAATGATATAGATAAATTAGAAGTAAAAGAATGGAAAAAATAGACCATGCAAACACCAGTCCAAAAAAGCTTGAGTGGCTATATTAACAATGGAGTTGGCTTCAGAGCAAAAAGTACCAGGGATACAGAAGCACATTATGTCAATTCACCAAGAAGATGTAAGAATCCTAAATGTGTTTCTGTATAACAGCAAGATTCTCAAATATATGAAACAAAAATTTAATAGAACTTAAAGAAAATGGAAAGTCAGAATGACAGTTGGAAACTTCAACACTCTTTTCTCAGTAACTGCTAGAATAAGAACAGAGAAAATTTACCAAGGATATGGAAAAACTAAGCATATATCAACTGGATTTGAAAGACATTTTATAGAAAATCCCACCTGAATATAGCAGAACAAGCATTCTTTTCAAGAACAAACATCGACCAAGAGAAACCATGTCCTGCGTCATAAAACAAACCTTAACAAATTTTAACTATTGGGATTAGGCTAGAAATCAAGAGAAAGATACCTGGAAAATCTCCAAATACTTGAAAACTGAAAAACACATTGCTAAGTAATCTGTGAGCCAAAGAGGAAATATCATATGAAATTAGAAAATATTTTAAACTAAGAAAAGGAAACAAGTATCAAAATTTGTGGGATACTAAAGAAGAGATTAGAGGGAAATTTGTAGATTTAAATGCACATATTCCTCTCTCTCTCTGCCTGCCTCTCTGCCTACTTGTGATCTGTATCTGTCAAATAAATAAATAAAATCTTTTTAAATGCACATATTAAAAAAGAGGAATGTTCTCACTTTAGGAAACTAGAACAAATGAGCAAAATAAACCAAAGCAAGCAGTAGAAAGAAAACAATTAAGACAAGGGCAGAAGTCAATGAAATGAAGAGAAGAAAAACAATAGAGGAAAAACAATGAAACAACATCACCAAGAAAAAAATGACAAATACCAGTATCAGGAGTTAGAGTGCTCACTGAAGATCCCACAAGTGTTAAAAATACCAATAACAAAGGAATAGTATAAGTAATTCTATGTACAGAAATTTAAAAAAACTTAGATGAAATTTCCCAATTCTTTGAAAGCCACAAATAACAAAACACCAAAAATATGGACATCCCCATATCTGTACTTTTGTAGGTTTCTTTTGTAAGTTAAAATCTTCCAAAAAAGAAAATTAAGGCCTAGATTATTTCACTGGCAAATTCTACCAAACACTGAATGAAGAAATAACACTGATTTAATATATTCTTTTTCAGAAATAGTGGAGGAGGAAACAGTACAACTCATGAGATTCTGCTACCAAAAGCTGACAAAGGCTATGCAAGAGAGTGTATACTAGTACTTCTCATAAACATAGGAGCAAAAATTCTTAATGAAATACTGGCAAATTACATCAAGGAATATGTAGAAAGAATAATACAACACAACCAAGTGGGGGTTTATCCCAGGAATGTAAGGCTGGTTCAATATTCAAAATTAGTCTAATCCATCATATTAGCAGATAAAGAAAAAAAAATCACATGATTATATTAACTGATGCAGAAAAAGCAGTTGATAAAATTCAACATATACTTCTGGTAAAATAAAAACCAAAGCACAACAAAAACCTCTTAGCAAACTAGGAATAAAAGAGAATTTTCCTAACCTCATTAAGGGCATCTGTAAAAATCCACAGCTAACAACACACTTGATAGAGAAAGAGTGGATAATTTCTTCTACAATGCATAAGGAAGATAAGAATGACTACATCATGCTGAAATTTGTAGTCAGTGCAGGAAGGCAACAAAACTAAATAAATCAATGTAGACTGAAAGGAAGTCATGAAATATCTTTATTTCAGACACCATGACAGTCTATGTAGAAAGTCCCATAGGATTTACAAAACAAAATTCTGGAACTATGCATCTTACCTTTGGTGAGATTTCATCTTCAATAGAATCATCTTACATTAAAAACATTGCAATATGAGGTACATTATTTTAATTATATTATCTTGAACTTATGCTAACTTAGAAAATTTTTTTAAAAGTGTGGATTTTAGAATTCAGTTACAAATACAGTTGAATGGATATTTATGTTAAACAATATATCAAGTGCTTTCTCTGTCTACTGAAATGATTATATTCTAGTCTATTAATAATTAGTTTTTATATTTGAAACCAATCTTACATTTCTGGTGTAAAGTATACTTGGTAATGAAGCAGTATAATTAGGAGGAGGGGATTGGTAAAATGTATATAATAAAATGTGCCATTGTAACCACTTTTAAATGTACAGTTCAGTGGCATTAATTATATTCACAGTGTTATGAAACCATCACTACTATCTATTTCCAAAACTTTTTTTTTCATCCCAAACATAAACTCGACCCATTAAGCAATAACTCCCTATTTATCCTACCTTCCATCCCTGGTATTATCTAGTCTACTATTTGTCTCTATGCATTTGCTTATTGTAGATATTTCTTATAAGTGCAGTCATACAATATTTATCCTTTTTGTCAAGTGTATTTCACTTCGCATAATGGCTTTAAAGTTCTTTTAGGTTGTATCAGAATTTCATTATTTTTTTATGACTGAATAATATTCCGTTGTGTGGCTATATCACGTTTTGTTTATCCATTCTTTTGTTGTTGGGCAACTGAGTTATGTCCAACCTTTAACTATTGTGTATAATGCTTCAGTGAACACTAGTATGTAAATATCTGAGTCCCTGTTTCCAATTTTCTGGGACATATACCTAGGACTAGAATTGCTGGATCCTATAGTAATTCTACTTTCAACTTTAAAGAAACTGACACACTGTTTTCCACAGTGGTTTCAACATTTCACCTTCTTACCAGGAACATACAAGGGTTCCAATTTCTCTACATCCTTACAAATACTTATTTCCATTTTTTGTTTTTTTTTTTTTTCACTTTTTGGATTATATCTATCCTAGTAGGTATAAAATGATATCTTATTATGGCTTTGATTTGCATTTCCAAATGACTAATGATGTTGATCATTTTTCATGTCCTTATTAACTACTTGTATATTTTCTTTGCATAAACATCTATTCAAGTTCTTTGCTCATTTTTAATTTGGGGTATCTTTATTGAATTGTAGGGGTGCTTACATATACTGTAGATATTGACCCCTTATCAAATGTGTGATTTGCAAATATTTTCTTC